GATCGAGCGGTCATTCGCGAATCTGAGTTTTTTTATTTACTAAGACTATTCTTATTTCAGACCTATAAATAAGGAGAGTATTTCTCACATCTAGATTAATCCTCTAATGAGATTTCTCAAATTATAATTCTACCTTGAGAGCTTCGACCACAACCTATGTCCCTAAGATCCAAAAGGCTACCACTAGAGATTCTACCCAATCTCACAAATTGGAGTTAAAAATCTTGATAGTTTGATAATCTTATTGGTGTGTGCATACCAAAGATTGTTGGTGTTCTTATAATCGCTCGAGGCCTAAATGAACCGTGCGGCGAGGAGGTCCAAGTGAAGCTATACTAGACGTCGAAAGAGGCCCTTTGGCGAACAGACAACAAGAAAAATAACATCTAACCACGTTATTGGTTGAGGTATAAGTATTGAGTATTTGTATGTTGACTTAACGAGTAGTTAATTAGGCTTTGGTGAACCAAGAAGATTTCCGCGATTTTTCTGGAATAAGGTTTTCTGCGTCAACAAATCACTCGTGCTATTTACTATTTATCACATATACTTGTGATTGTGAGCACACACATGCACTATTTGTTTGTGATTTTGATTGATTAAATATTCATCCACTCAAAATTATGCATATTGGGTTTAGGGATTTGATCGTCATGAGATTAATTTTGAGTAATTAATTCAAGATTAATTAAATCAATCATCATAGGCAAGTTGGGCTGGGGGTGATTAAAAAGGTTCTCACATTCTTTGCTAAATTTGTGTGGGACAAGGTAATTGTGGTGGGTTAAATTTTTAATTGGTAATCAATTGAGCTTAATTTGAAAAACCTATAGTCATGAAGGCTTCATCTACATCGAGTTCCCCCTCCCAGAACAACAATGTGCATTTGCTAAACTGGCATCTAATGTAGACAAATGAGAAGAGAGTAAAGACAACTGCTTGATGAGTTAACTAAGCTAAGAGATAAGATCATCATGAGTGTCAGATGTAGATGTAGTAGGTCCACTAGTCGATGGCTGAGATACAAGAGGTGTTGGATCATCAGAAACTTGATTAGCATAAGTTGGTCTTTCATGTTTTTTCTCAACAATAATCCTCAGCATGTCTAGTAACTCCACAATCAAAACATTTTCACTCGAAACGATTGGCACGATCACCACGACCAGTACTTCTAACACCACGATTACCACCAAAGACTAGATGACGACCCACACTACGACCACCTTCACGGACACCACGATTACCACTAAAGAGTAAACTAGAGGACTTTTGTAAGGGTAAGGGATTCCCACAGATCAAATTGGCTCTCTGAAGACAAGAATAACCATGGGTAGCATTTGGAAGTTTTTGATTAGCCAAAATGTGACCTTTAAACACACCATATTTAGAATTAAGACTGGACAAGAATAGACCAACTTAAAACTCTTCACGTCGTCGTTGTACTTCTAGATCTGCACCCAATGGCTAATAAAGAAGAAGCTCCTCCCACAACCCTTTAAAAGTACCATAATGCTCAGCTAAAGACTTACTCCCTTTCTTGGAATTAAACATACATTCAAAAAGTTCATAGATTTCACATTACATCTCCTTAAGAAAATCCCAAATCTTCTTAGCAGTATCAAGAAATTAAGCATTCGAAGCAACACTAGGCTCCATACTATACCACAACCAAGTTATCATCAAGGAATTCTCACTCTACAAGTCTTTAGAATCAGTGGAAGTCTCAAGGAGGACTTTCAGTCAAATACTTGACTTGCGGTTTAGCACGTAAAGAAATTTTGATGTCATGAGACCAAGAATAATAGTGGGTTCTATTTAACTTCACAGAATTAGTCTGCCTAACTTGATCATCCACAAAATAGACATGTCGAATCGGATTGCCAATTGACTTATCCTTCACCTCCTCGAAAGTCACCATGTAAAGAGAATACCCATCAATCAATCACCCAACCACGATTCCAAACCAGAGAACGCCCGATCAGTTTCAAAGAAATAGGTGACAACAGAAGAGCAAATCCAATACAACAACAAAAAATCCACACTCAAGCGAAACCCAATAGACAATCTAATACCAAACCCAACACAAACCCACACATAAATAATAGACCACAACTCAACCATGGGCCCAAACAGCCCAAAGCACTAATTATCGACATCCAGAAGGCAAAAAACAAACCTATCGAGTGATTCAATTTGCCAAAAAACCTACTAAACTCCACAAACAGTTATAGGTCACTTCCAGCAGATCCCTGGAGCCTAATCAGACCTTTTGGTAAAGGATCTATACTTCAAAAACCATCAAATTACAAGGAACAACCAAGTTGAAGAAATTGAAGCCAATTTTTTGAAAAACATTCAAATATAGGAAAGGGTATTTAAATGACTTCAAAATATTCAACAAAAGTCGTCATAAATCTCATCTCAAAAAAATGATCAGGAATCTTTGTCGCCGGGGGATGATGACATCATCACCAATTGACTAATGTCAACAACTAGGTCACGACTGAATCTTCATTGTTTTCTTTCTTTGGTCAGCAATATTATTTGATGATTATTTGATTGATCTAATACCAAGGTGAAACACTAAAAGCGATATTAGGGCTAGGTTTAAGAGAGAAAGAGAAAAAAAAGAGAGGTATACAAAGAGAGAACAATAGACCGAAATATAGACTAATACACTTGATATTGTATGGGTTTTTGTACTTGATTTCTAGTTGATTTAGCTTAATTTGGTTGATTTTTTTAGGATTGTTAATTTTTAATTTGTTGGAATTTTTGTGGTCTGTTTTGTGGTATGATTTATTTGTGGGAATTGTTGTAGTTTAATTGTTACAGTTTCCGGTGACAATCTAAGAAGCACAAACACGAACACGAGACATGAATACAACACGATACAAACACACAGATACAACATTTTTCTAAAGAGTAGGACACGGACACGTTTAAATAAAATAATTTTTATTTCTTTTTATATAGCCAAGTATTCACAAATTTGGCCCAAATGCATCAAAAAGTAGACATAAATTACAATTAATATGTGCATACAGCCCAAATTTCACTTGCATTAAACCTAATAAAAGGCCCGAAAAAGAGTTTAGAGCTTCTTGGGCTAAGCTCGCCCACTAGCTAATACCAATTGTAATAAACTAAGATAAGTTATAACGGTAATCTGATAAACCAATCAACAAGTGACATGTGGCAAAAAGAAAAAGAGAAGATTATAAGTCCAAAAACGGTGGTGCTTCCATTGGGTAAGTACAATTTTCTCTAGGTTCTCTCTTTCTCTAAAAGACACACTCTTGTCTCTGTCTAACCTCCGGCTCCAGTTACTAAGAAAGCAAGTTCACTTTACTTTCTCTATGGCAGTTCTTAAATCATGGGTGATGGCCTTTGTTCATCATCTTTGGCCTTTCTCATGGCCTACTTTTATTTTTATTTCCTCCATATCATCGATCTGCAAATAATCGATGACAACGATGAGTAATTTCTATAAAATACAAATTGGTCCACAGTTGTCGCAAACATGTCTGAGACATGTTATATAAAAAAACCGAACTCTCTTTTTTGCGTGTCCGTAACATGTCCCGACATGTCCGTGTCCCAGATGTGTTGAACATCTGTACATTAGCCTAAATCACGTGTCTGTGCTTCATAGGTGACAATAATTGGAGATATTGTTCTACCATTGGTTGTTGGTGGGATGGGATACAAGTTTAGAAAGATTAATTTGACTTAATCATAGAAATGATTAAATTTTATCCAAATTTGGGGACAGATTTATATTAATTGAAGGCATTGATTAGAGATTAGAAGTGCCAGAAATTGGGAATAAATTTTAAATCACTCCATGGAATTATGTAGATATGATTTTAATTTAAAAATAATTGAACTTAACTAATAGAAATGACTTGAATTACTCAACTAATGGAATTCAGAAAATTTTACTTGGATTTAAAATAAATTCAACTTAATTAAAGGAATTGAATTAATTTACTCAAATTTTGTGAATAAATTTAATGTAGTTAATGAAATTTATTAGGTTTGACTTAAAATTTGGAAATAAATTGGATGTATAAATTTGGATTGTTTTATAGCGTGATGATGGGAAGGTATAAATGCCTTTTCATTATTAGTTTGAGAATACTTTTACCACAAAGTGGTAAATTGGGAATTGTGAATGACTAATGTTACCATGACTCGGTCTAACGTTTCTCAGACAAAAGGGTATAATTGTCCTAAGTTTCAAATGTTGAGTGATCTGAGTGTAATTTCTAAAATTGGGGGGGGGGGAAGGGAATGTAATTACACAAAAGTCAGGAGATATGTGCGAAACTTACCCTTTTCTATCACTAACAAAAATATTTAGTAATAATACAAAACATCACATAAGGGGCAAGGAGTCATCCAATGTACAAAGGAAAGAATAACATGAAACCAGAAAAGAAAATAATAAGAAGTTACATCCCACAAACCAAGTTGCAATCTTAGTCAATTGATAATTTGCAGACTTCTAAATCCTCTCAAGAAAAAAGCTCAATTTACTACACAATAAGCAGAGAGAAGCACATTACTTTATGAGAGCAACCGTGATCTTTTTCCTCAGTTGTCATGCTTCAAATGCTAGTTGATGAAAGACTTAGCTAACACAAAAATGGTTGTGACAATACAATAGGTGGCCACCAATTGAATGGTTTCAAGAATCCACATACATCAACTTTCCTTAAGAATGCATGTAAAGCATTTATGTATTCTTACAATTTATTTCCACCAAAATGGTATACTTTAAGAAAACCAATTTCATCCTGATCAACATATGCATAAATTTATGCGACCACCGAATCAGCCTTTCAATTCTTTCCTTTAGCTACTGGACAATGACAAGCACTTACCATTATATACGTGAATTAAAACAACACAAAAAGAAGACACCATAAGCCTGCATTCTGTGAGAAAGTGTGTGAATGAATCTCAGATATAGATAACATTTGGACACAGCAGAGTCAGAACCAGAATGTAGTAATAAGAAAGAAATTGTCACATGTACCCCTCCCACTTCCAAGATATATGTAAGCTTTGGATGGCCCATCCTTTTTACGTTGAAGTTCAGCCCTCAAGTGTGAGAATGACTCAATTGTTCTCCGAAGACCCTCCTGTTCAAAAGACAAACTCACATTATGAGGGGCAAACTATCAACAAACCCATCGGTGTGAGAATTTGTTGCGGTTTAGCACAACATGTACATTCAAACACTATTTTCCATGCCAAAATTGGTGGATGAACTTAGATCGATATCCAAATCAGGGCATTCTCGCATAAAAAAGATGCACGGTACAAATATTGAACAAATCATCATATCATTAAATAAACCAACCACTATGATGGCGCATTGTAAACATTGGCATATATAATCCAACAGAAATACATGTGACTAAGTACCGATGTATCAAAAGGAACAGAGTGCAGCACTGAAAGACTCCAAACTTAAGCGGGCTCAATAGAATGTTTTACCATAAGATTGCAAGTTTGACAAACGCCAAAAGTAACAGAAGTAGAATAAAATTACTACGAGTACATCACAACCACAATACCAAAATTCAATGCAAGAATGAATAGATGTACCCCATTATAAGATATGAGAGAGACCTGAAGTGGGACAATGGGTGAGTAGCCAAGTCGATCATTTGCTTTTGAACAATTAAATGTTCTGCTACAAGAGAGGAGTCTGATTCTTGAGGGTGTCAACTGCGGAACCTTCATTCCATATGGGGCTAAAAGCTTATATGTCCACTCCACCATATGTCCTATGGGCATCATAATAACGGCAGGAATCTTAATCCTTGGCCTGCAAACTACATAACATCAGAAGCCAAGAAAGTAGAATTTGAGAAATGAGAACATGTCTATGATGTGATCCCTCACTCCTCAGCAAAGAAACGGAAATATGAAGTAAACAGAACACCCTTTACTCCCTTAGAAAGAACTTGTTACTTGTTTTCATTTTTCAAGCATAGGTATGACAACCAACATAGAAATGGGACTTACTACCAAGCTATTAGTCGAGTGCAGTTCAAGTCTCAAGTGGATCATGAGTGTGTGTGTGGGTGTATGTCATTCTTTCAGATAGATCCAAAAAGGAGAGAGAGAGGGAGAGATTCATTGCATGAAATTTCTCAAGTTAGCATGTGGCAAAAGCCCAATGAAGACGGAGTAGCAAACACTTAAAGCACCAAAAGACAGTAATTAAATAAATTAGCATTGGCCACAGTTTATATCTCAGAAGCAAAAGTCAGAAAGTGCTACGTCAGCGTACAAACAGAGAAATTCGAGTAGATCCAAACATCTATCCACTGCCTAACCATGGATCAGCAATCTGCAAAATTAAAGTGAACCCTATGTAGATGGTTACCAGCACTAAAGCAACAATTATTGTCAACCCCTTTATGTTTGTGGACCAAAGTGAACTGTTAAGTTTTCTGTTCACACAGACTGGAATGTGCCAGAAAGTTGAGTTGATGCGTGAGAAAATGGGTTCCCTTGAAATTTATTTTCCAAATGACCAACATAGCCATATATAACTAGAAACCTACTTTCTTCAGTGCTTATCTCTCGAATATTTCTCTCTCCAGAGACATCCCTTATCTCTTTCTCTCTATTCCTACACCTTATCTCCAACTTTCTCTCTATTTCTATAACCTTTTCTCTCTACGTAATTTTCTCCTTGTGTTTGTGGGAAGTGTGTACGTGCATTTATGTAAAACCTTCAAAAACATCACCGAGTATGCTTTCTTGCAAATTAAAGAATCTCAGATTAGGCAAATGTAGAGATCAGATGGCAACTGCCCAAAAAAGAAACCGAGATAAGCCACCTCAACAACTCTAGATACGCATATTCTGTGTGAAAGACAAAAAAAAAGGTACCTTTCATAGCCAAGTCCTTCAAGAATGAGTGAAACAAACTCCCAAAACTTTATTGGCTCCATATTTGTAACAAAGTATGCCTGTGAAACCAACATGAGAATGCAACTTTATCAATGAAAAATCTCATAAAGAACTTAGACAATGCTGTAGTAATTCATGATTCTAGCTTAATGTTCCAAATGCATGAAATAGCTGGAAGCTTCTGCATTGTAATCAAAGTCTAGAAAAAATGTATATCCGAGGACAAGGGAGGATCCCTGATGTCTCATACTTTATCAGTGCATATAAAACTTGTTAGCACTATATTGACAGTTTATCTCCTGAGAAACTGTTTTCTTGTTGTTGATAAAATGTCAGCAAACAAAGAGAAGAATTGGGTTCTACAATAGTAGAAACTTGGTGCACTTACATTTTTGCAAATTGGATTAATGAGGATGCATGCAAAGTAAGACATATGATCATTTTAGGATGAAAAGCTTTTATATACGCTGCCATCATCTAGAAACAAATCATTTATCCTTGCAGATGCACATAATTATTTAGGCCTTATAAGTTATAACACATCAGGATATCTATGTGTATTGTGAATTTGTATTATGCATTTATCATTCACGATTCTAGTATTATAGCCCCAAATGCATCTAAGAACTTACTTCTATTTATCAGTATGCAAATGAAATCTAGATTCTATAAAAACAAAAATGACTTATTTCTTGGGCATAAAACCAGTGCTATCCTGGATAAAAGAAGCAACTGAAATGGTAAACATACTTTCACCGTTGCAGCTCAGAATTAGCAACTTAGACTCATATATGCATTTGGATTAGAAAAGAGGATGCAGACATATTTGAGTCCAGACATAAATATTTTGCAAACAACATTAAAATTTGAGAATGACTGAAACAATACCTGGCCTGCAGCTCTCTCTGCAACTGTCCCTTCTGATGCTAGAGCTCTTTCAGCACATATATGGGCATGTGCCACATTTTCAACGTAAGTGAAATCGTACATGTTATTCCCATCGCCAATAATGAACTACTCATTCAGAAGAGAACATACAACAATTGACAGTTAACAGTAAAACAAATCAAAAATTGACACACACCTGTCCTCACTTATACACGATCTATTCCATATGGTCAAGGAATACATCATGCCTAACCAGTGAGAAATCCCAAGTATGGGGCAATAATCTGCTTATCATTTATCCTGATAATTAAAAAAAATTTCAACAATCCACAGCAGAACATAAATGAGATTCCAACTGTCCATTTACTGACAAAATTCATTCAAAAGAAAAAGGCAATTTGAGTGATCTGTCGTTTCAGTTAATAGACTAGCCAAACTAGAGGTTGTACTTCTTTCCAAAAATGCAGGAGGAGCTTTTGTCAGGTAGGGAAAAAAATGAGGCTTTAACATTGCAACTGCAGAAAATTTGGTAGAAATCGCAGCTAGGTTCTGATAGTTGAAAAGGATGTAATTGCTTGGCCAGAAGTGACAAAATGGCACCCAGATTTAATTATTTTTGCAGACACTATAGTATTACCAGGACTGAAAAGGAACAAATTATTCCCTTGTTAAGAGGAAAGAGGTAGTGTTGCCCATGCTGTTGAACAACATCCTCACTTTAGGGGGCGGTGTGGTTAAAGGATCCCACCTGACTGGATGGTTGGTTTCAATCGAAGAATCCTAAGTTGTAATGCCATTTTTAAAGAGTTAAAGATATATAACTTCGAAGCAGATGGGGGGCAGCTGGTGAAAAGACCATTGAAATTATTTTAAGAAATACAAAGGAGTATGTCCACGGACTGACTAGTTGACAATAAATGCTAGGGCATAGGGAACAGCTAACAGAGGTAAAACATGCATTGCGTGATGATCAATTAAACCATGTCATTTGTACAGCATGTAAAATATCCAAATGATTTGTGGTTCCAGTGCACTTAGTAACCATCCTGACATTGAGTTTGTGGATCTCAAAGCCAATACATGAATAAAATGATAAAATAAGAAGAAAAAGGGACAAAGAACTTAGCTACCTTGGATTTTCCTGCCCTTGCTGCAGCAACTAAAGATGGAACAAGTAACTTATCACCGGGACCAAAAATGCTGCTCGGACGAATGCAGCATGTTAGAAGCCCATTAGTACCATTTGACTTGATAACTAGTGCCTCTCCTTCAGCTTTAGTTGCTGAATATGAATCATTGTGCTGAAAAATTTGAAGATTCACATGATTGTTATTGGATAATTTATGAGTCAGCTTTGAAGAGACAGAATGATCGTGACAGAAACTGAGACTCAATGCTTTACTTATATGAATGAGGACTTAAGCTAACTAACATGATATATTTGTTTACAGAAAGAAGAAAGGAAAGCAAGATGGGAACCAAGGCAACAAAAATCTTGTTTTGTTGAATTGATTGCTCCATCAGTGAAAAATACTGAAATGATGCTAGTACATAATTGAGCTCGTCTGTTTCAAAGAAAATCGAAGCAAGAAACCATAACATGTGCATAGGACGGAGAGGTCTCAAAGAAACCTCCTATTCCAACAACTGAGACAAGTTCAACAACAGAAAGGATACGAAAGAATATATTAAAAAACTAATACCTCAAGTGGTAATAACAGTCAAGGATTGATATTGATTGTTAGACTATTTTTTAAACAAAATGGTGCAGTTATTACCTTAGCTGGATATGGTGACGATTCCTCCCCATTGAATATTCCATTAACTCCATCAAAGACCACACTAGGAGAGCTTGTGTAGATTAGTCTCTTAACTTTTAGCTCAATACAAGCACCAATTACATTCTTGGTTCCTACAGGTCATAGACGAAATACAAATAGTGGAATTTTCAAAACATGAAGTTTAATTTCTACCACTCTCTGTAGTTAATATCTTTAAAAGGGAAGGGATGTTGAGAACATGAACATTTAACTTCTGATAACTCTACATAGTTACTAACTTAACCTTGTACATTGACAGAATGATGAAGCTCGTAGCTGTTGATGGATGAATCTGGAGCAGCCATGTGAAAGACAACCTCAGCTTCTTGGCAAGCTGCAGAATGGGAGTATTGCAAACCAAACTCAGCAAATCAAATTTAACAGATTAGTACCAATTCAAGGCCGTGAACTTCTACATCTGTCTAACAACACAAGATTAACATTAAAACATCTAGGCCCATACTTATTGAGTTTTAGAATCAGGTTCAAGCTCACTATTGAAGTTCACTAAATAAGTCAAAAAGTTAAATGGGATGAATGTGACCTTTAAGAACTTGGGACTTGTCTCGAAGATCGGTGGACACGTATTGAGCTCGGCCGGACCGTATAGCATTGCCCAGTGTTCCCTTCTCCTCGTCAGGATCTAGCTTGATAGAGGGGCCCAAGTCAGCAATACGAATTGAGAACATCTCATAACGGATGAGCATTTCCACCAGATGCCGTGCAGCAAAGCCCCTTCCCCCTGTCACGACACACCATCTCTCCTGTCCGACCATTTCCTTTCAATTGTACCTCTCTAGAAAAGAGCGCATCAATGAGGATACAGACGGTCTCGCCAAATTAGCTAACGGTATCATAGTACAATGCAGCAAGCACACACACACATATATAGAGAGAGATAGAGAGGAGATACCGAGTTACACAGCACCAGGAGAGTGAGAGAGATGACGTCTGGAGAAGACAATCAATTTAGGACTGAATTGCCCAAAAAACAGATTTTGTACCTCTGAAAATTGGAACCGCAGGTTTTTGTTGAACCGTCCCGTTCATTGGTTTTTATGAAAACCGGCCAGTCCCGTCTGACTGTTATTTTTATACAGATATGTACTGAAGAAAGAGATCATGGCCTTTTATTTAATTTATTAATAATACACGTGCGTTGTATGTAAATATATTTAAATAATAATTTTTTAATAAAAATTTAAATTATATGTATAATTAAATTAAATAATAAATTATATAACTTTTATTAATTTTATTTTAATTATTATCAACCCTAATTATTAATCTATTATATTCCTTTTCGAGTATTTAATCAGTTATTGGTTTAAATATCTCTCTGGCTCTTTAGATATTTTTTCTTTTGTTTAAAGTGAATTTTTATTGTAAGTTTATCATTATTGATTATTTGTACATCTAATTATATTATAGTATAGTATTGTAATAATATAATATTGTTATATACCAAAAAATCAACTATAATATATATTGGACTCTAGAATAATAGAATATAAATTAGACCTTATTTCTTCATACAAATATTGACATTGATATAAAAAAAATCGTATGCAAGTGTATTACTAATAAATAAGTTTAAAAATCAGATACACTTCAATAAAAGAGTTTAAAATAACCTAAAAGTTAAATAGACATAGGAAATAAGAATTGAGTAGAAGTGATATAGAATTTAGAAAAATAGACATAGGAAATAAGAATTGAGTAGAAGTGATATAGAATTTAGAAGTCAAATACTATTAATAAAAGAGTTCAAAAAAAACTTAAAAGCCAAATAGGTATATGAAATAAAAATTGGAAGAAACAAATATATGGATATCATTAACTTTATAAGAAAAATTAGGAATAAAATAGGAAATTAAAATTTTTTCATAAATATTGATATTTATAAGTGGTATAAATATAAGTTGAAATGAAGTACTAAGTAGAAATGTTCATCCCTAAATACAATAACTGAATTGATAAGAAATTGAATTTGGACTCAATGACAATAGTCATGGGCCTACGAACAACAAAGTAGCATAAAATTATCGACTCTTGTAACTAATGGAAATGTTCATTGGTAAATACTATGATCTATGAACAACAATGTAGTAAACATTTAGACCTAGAACGACAATAGCTACAAATTTAATATCACATAAAACTAAGAATGTTTTCCCAGTTTCATGGCAACCAATTGATAATGTATCAAGAAGATGACTTGTCTCAATAATCGTCATTATGTGTGTCGAAAGGGTGAAACGTTGTATGCTTACCTAAGTTACTAGTACTCTGGCAATCGTAGGTTCTTCACTATTTGCCATCTTCAATACTGGTTGATTCCCGTCCTCAAGATCTGATAGTTGGAGAGAGAGACACACACAAACGGGACAGTAAAAAAGAAGCAGATGGAGGCTAGCTTTGTCCTGTTAGAAGCAATAAGTCGAGTACAGACAACTAATTTCTTAGGGTAAATGTCACTGACACCCTTAAAAAATGGCCTAATTACAAGCACATTTTTCTATGACATCTCTTGATAATTGTCGTCTAATAACATGTATGAAGAAAAATGATGTTTCACATTATTACCCCCAACAAAACTCTGATTGCTTACAATTTAAGCTAACCCAATTACATTCAATATTAATTTTCATTTAACCATCATTAGACCAATTGCAATTTTATATGTATATATACATATATACGTGTGTAAATATAAAAGGTGACTGCCTCTCTCTCTCTCCCTGACAAAATCTACCATGACCATGTAAACCTCGATCTCCACCAGCCTAACTAGTCAACACTCCCAACGAAATCCACCACCACCATGTAAACCTCTATCTCCACCACCTTAACTATTCAACACTACTGAGATATCAAAGCTCTCTCTATCCCCATCCTTTTCTATACCCCATTCTCACATGGATACACTCACACTTACAAACTCATTTTTGTAACTATTGAGTTGATTAAAGATTTGATCTCCATATTATTGACTTGACCACGAGTTCACCATGCAGGTTATGATGATCAGAGGGCAAAATGATGGATTGATGGTGGTGTGACAGGTGTTTGTGAATTGTGATGCTACAATTGGTGGTGCAATTGTTGGGTCTCACACATATCATGGCTATGGAAGATTTAATTTAGTTAATCCTTTCAATAATTCCACATAATTGCAATTTAGCCCACAAAATTATGCTAATATGCATGCAATGCGTGATTGGGTCTCACAACGCTTCCCCACTAATAAAAATTTTATCCTCGAAATTACTTACCTGCACCAAACAAATGAGGATATTGAGCCCACATACTCTCCTCAGTCTCCCAGGTTGTTTCCACTATCCAATGAGTACGCCACAAAACCTTTACCAACGGTATCGTCTTCGTGCGCAATATTTTCTCCTTTCTACCCAAAATCTGAACCGGTTGTTCTACATAAGTCAAATCCTCAGCTAATTCCATCGATTCTGAAGTCAACACATGTGATGGGTCAGGCAAGTACTTTTGTAGCATAGACACATGAAATACATCATGCAACCTGGACAACTCTACTAGTAACGTCAATCGGTATGCAACAGCTCCAATCCGCTCCACAATGCTGTACAAACCAATATACCTAGGGGCCAACTTTCCATTCCTGCCAAAACGAATTATCCCTTTCCAAGGTGATACCCGTAAGAATACTCAATCACCTACCTCGAATTCCAAGTCACGTCGGCAATTGTCAACATAAATTTTCTGCCTACTCTGTGTGCTCTGTAATCTCTCCTGTAAAACTTTTAATCTGATCAACAGTCATCTGCACAATCCCTGGACCCAATAACTTCCTCTCACTCACTTCACTCTAACATACTGGGGTCCTACACCTCCTTCCATACAAAGTTTCATATGGTTTCATCTCAATTGAACTCTAGTAGCTGTTATTATAAGCAAATTCAATCAAAGAAAAATAATTATCCCAATTACCTCGAAGATCCATGACAAAAGCTCTCAGCATGTCCTCCAATGTTTGAATAGTACGCTCCGTCTGTCCATCAGTTGGTGGGTGGAATATTGTACTAAACTTCAAAGTAGTGCCTAAAGTAGTCTGTAAGCTAGGCCAAAACTTCGAAGTAAAGCGTGGATCCCTGTCAGAAACAATAGTTACAGGTATGCCATGCAATCTCACAATATCATCAATGTACAATCTAGCTAGCCTGTCAAGAGAATAGGACATCTTAACAGCTAGAAAATGAACAATCTTCGTCAACCTATCAACTATCACCCAAATGGTCTCATGTTTTTTCTGCATACGGGGTAAACTACTCACAAAATTCATAGTGATATGCTCCCACTTTCATTCTGGAATTGGTAGAGACTGTAATAATCCGGCTGGTCTCTGATGCTCAGCTTTTACCTACTGACATATCAAATATTGAGCCACAAACTCAACTATCTTTTGTTTCATTCCAGGCCACCAATAATGTTCTCTCAAGTCACAATACAANGGCAAGTACTTTTGTAGCATAGACACATGAAATACATCATGCAACCTGGACAACTCTACTAGTAACGTCAATCGGTATGCAACAGCTCCAATCCGCTCCACAATGCTGTACAAACCAATATACCTAGGGGCCAACTTTCCATTCCTGCCAAAACGAATTATCCCTTTCCAAGGTGATACCCGTAAGAATACTCAATCACCTACCTCGAATTCCAAGTCACGTCGGCAATTGTCAACATAAATTTTCTGCCTACTCTGTGTGCTCTGTAATCTCTCCTGTAAAACTTTTAATCTGATCAACAGTCATCTGCACAATCCCTGGACCCAATAACTTCCTCTCACTCACTTCACTCTAACATACTGGGGTCCTACACCTCCTTCCATACAAAGTTTCATATGGTTTCATCTCAATTGAACTCTAGTAGCTGTTATTATAAGCAAATTCAATCAAAGAAAAATAATTATCCCAATTACCTCGAAGATCCATGACAAAAGCTCTCAGCATGTCCTCCAATGTTTGAATAGTACGCTCCGTCTGTCCATCAGTTGGTGGGTGGAATATTGTACTAAACTTCAAAGTAGTGCCTAAAGTAGTCTGTAAGCTAGGCCAAAACTTCGAAGTAAAGCGTGGATCCCTGTCAGAAACAATAGTTACAGGTATGCCATGCAATCTCACAATATCATCAATGTACAATCTAGCTAGCCTGTCAAGAGAATAGGACATCTTAACAGCTAGAAAATGAACAATCTTCGTCAACCTATCAACTATCACCCAAATGGTCTCATGTTTTTTCTGCATACGGGGTAAACTACTCACAAAATTCATAGTGATATGCTCCCACTTTCATTCTGGAATTGGTAGAGACTGTAATAATCCGGCTGGTCTCTGATGCTCAGCTTTTACCTACTGACATATCAAATATTGAGCCACAAACTCAACTATCTTTTGTTTCATTCCAGGCCACCAATAATGTTCTCTCAAGTCACAATACAACATTGTACAACCTGAATGCACAGTATATGCTGAATTGTGTGCTTCCTCCAGAATCTCTCTTTTTAACCCTGCATCATTAGGTACACATAACCAAGAACTAAATAACAAAACATCAATACTATCAATAATAAAATTAGTCCTCACCTCTTTCTTCAGTTTCTCAATCAGGATATCAAACTTTTGTGCCTCTTTGATCCTGTCCACCAGCACTGATTTTAAAGTTAGTGTAGCAAGTAAAGCTGCAGTCTCTCCTATACCCAATTACACTCTCAAAGATTTCAAAATCACAAATAAAC